AGAACAACTGCCTAATGGAACGTACTTCAAAAGGAAAAGCAGTTAAGCTTCTATCACTTCCTTTTTTTTTTAGAGATGCCTTTGAAGTGAGACACTTCATAGGATGGCTGTTTGGCTGTGGGACTTGCATCATAGTGGTTTGAGTGTTTCCGATTATTTCTCTTTAACTTTGGAAAAAGAAAATGCACTGCCAACAACCAAAAGTAAACTGTACTTATCCACACATAATTCACCCATACCTTAAATCATAAGTTTTGCTCCACAAAACATAAACTGTTCAGGGTCAGTACAGGATTATCCCGTCAGGAACACAGGAAATAAAGCCATTACAATAGGAGGAAAATTGGGCAGTTAGAATACTTTTGTTTCTCTTAAGTAACACAAATGTAAAATAAACAAATAGGTTAAACAGCTCCCATGCATATTTTGCAGGGGAAAATATTAACTGCTTGAATGCCAACTTTAAACTAAGCTTATAAGGACCCATAGGACAAAATAATAGCTGAGCCAGTAGAAGTCTGTGAAATCAGAAAATGACCTGTAGTTCATATTTAAGCAAGACTTTTAACGGATGGGGTTTTTTTGTTATTAAGTTGTTTGACTATACAATAGAACTGCATCAAGACATTTCAATTAAGTAATATTTTTTATGTTCTAAGTTTGACTGTAGACCACCACAGCATCAACACAGTGATTAGCAGAGCTTAGACTTTGGACGGAAAAGCACTTTCAGTTCTGGGTTGTGGGGAAGAAGGGGCATGGTTTATACTCTTGTCCAAACAGAGAATTAAAAATCTGTATCACAGAGGTTGTGCAAACTAATTTGGATCCTTCTTGTGCACTGAATAAACCCTAGACAATAAAAAGTAAAACCTTTCAGATGCTTATTAACTCAGGGCTATCAAAACCCCAAAATACTCATCTTTCTTTTGTTGAGAAATGCTCTAGAATTGAAAATTGTAATGAGAAGTGTTTGAAGTGAGGGATTGCCAGGAAGGATGAAAATAGGAGTGAAATGTTGATCTTATTTCACCAGTAAAAATCTACAGTAACTTCAATGCAATGGATGCATTCTACTGGATTCCAGCGAGGTAAACAGATATAAGAATCTCAAGAAAATGAAATATTTAACAGTGAAGAGCTATGCTATTTGAGAAAACAGAAAAGAGAGACTTTCAGGACTTTTAGTAGAATAACTTACTGAATCTTCACAGGGACCCATGTTGGTAGATTGTATTACTGTTCCAGTTTGTGAGGCACTGTCATTCCCAAACTATACTTTCCCCTCCCAAATTATCCTTTTGTGTGAAAGGAAGTATCACAACTGTAGGAACTTCACAAAAACAAACCATGTTGTGTTAAAGAAGAAACATAAACAAACCAAAACAAAATGTAAACAAAATTAGTGGTCTGACTTAAAGCCACAAAACCATAGCAACCCAACAAAGTCTGAAACTCCAGCCTTTCTCTGAAGCTTGTGTGCCATTTATTCATTTGTTTGGGCTTTTTTTTCTGCACAAAAGATAAGGGTACTTCTAATTTAAAAATATTGTGTTAGCAGAATGGCATTTCCCATTATACTTTTAATTTTTTTCCACTTACTTTTCAAATTTCAGGTCTGGGTAATGAAAATAATATTGCAACAAAAACAAGTACCAGGTTAATTAAAATGCAAAAATCTTAAACTGTATAAAGGATTATCCAAAGTTTATCCAGCCCTCACACACAGTGGAGCCTAAAACAGAAACTTCTTGCATTCAATGTATTCTTTTTAAATAAGAAAATTATTTGCCTGTAAGGTAAATTATCCGAGTGCTCTGGCACTGTCTCAGTATTCTGTCATGTCTTGCTCTCCTACATAGCCAAGTCACTTTCTTTCAGGTTGCTGAGAGCAGAGGCAAGATTATCTTTATGAACAGGAGGCTTATCTATTGCCTCCAAAGTGGGGTGCATGCACCCCAGAGGAGGTACATGACAATCAGCTGGAGCACAGGAAGAAAATCTTTTTTGTACTCTTAATAGATGAAATTCTAAAAATTAAATTGTAGTTATTTCACCTTTAGTTTATCCTTTTTTAATTTCTATATTTGTCATGTTCTACAATGTACTAATTTATTAGTACAGTAGTACCTCTATATAACTTATAAAAAAATACATCTCTATTGAGGATACATGCTGAAAAATATTTCAGTGATTATTAAAAAGTAGTGAATACATATAATGCTTGAAAAAATCTTTACCCATAGACCCAGCCTGGAAAATTACAGTTTCAGGAACTGATACTTCTTAAGCTCAGCTGAATTTCACCTCTTACCACTCATGATTTTAGGAAAATACAGGGGCACCTACACTTCATTCCATCATATTATATGTCTAGCTTAACTAGCCTTCATATTATATCCATTTAATTACTCATGACCAGCTTGTGTAGAAAGCTGAATTTCTGTTTAACACACCAGTCATCCAAAAGTATGAAAAAAAAGCTAATCAAGACTCTACAGAATGTGTCGGTTCATCACAAAGCTTCCATTTTACTGTATAACACAGAGGAGAACAAAAGGTCAAAGTATAAGCGTTTGAAGACTCTGACCATGAGAATAGTAAAAAACCCTTCTGTTTCCCCAGTATGTGACGTTCTATAGATTCCTTTTTGAGTTCATTTTCATTATCTCAGAATACCTAGTTTCTGAGAAGGATTATAACCACAAGTAACCTCAGAAAAATGCTCTGGCTTTAAAAAAAGGACTAGAAATCTAGTGGGAAGAATTAATATTATGCAACTTCCAGCCCAAGCTAACAGATACAGGTGGCTTGGATCGTTCTTACAAACATTAGACTAGCCTTCAGTTTCAGATGCTTCATATTAGGTTACCCTTAGGATGTGAAGACATATTCTTAGCTCAGTTTAAATCAGTGGGAATTTTGCTGTAGACTCCATGGGGCCTTTACCTTCCACAATTTTGCCTTAACAAGATGCCAGTGCTTGCCAAAAACTGAATCTTGATTTATTTGCAAATTATTGCTAAAAATATTTGGCTTAACATGTAATGGGTTCAAATTTTCAGGTGGTATAAATCAGCACAGCTGCAGAACTATGCCAATTTAATCCACTTGAGGATCTACCAGTGGGTTTTATCCCATTTAAGATCATTCATAGCAGTAAAGTAATTGTTTTAAAATCTTCTTGGTTTTACACAGCAGGCAGTCACAGTGGTTTCACCTAGGGCTACTGCATTTTTGTGGGTATAATCTGCAAATCAAGCAAACCCATCCTTTCAAAAATGTATTATTCTGTAAAAATAAGTACCCAATTAACCTACTTTTTTTATTCAGTCCTGGCACCACTCAGCAATTATATGCTGTATTTAAATTTAAACAACACAAATGCAAACATGTCTTTGCAAGACTGCTTACAATAAAGAAATTTTGAGCAACAGTGGTTCATTTCCACTAAAAAGTTGTCTCATATTAGCTATTTGCACAACTTTGTTACTTGTTAACAACTAGACACACCTGTGCAAGATCATCTTTCAAACTCCTTTTTTAAAAAGACTGTCTAAAGCAAACATGATTCTTTTTCACTTGATGAAGTTTTCGCATGATAAGAGAGAAATTTGCCAGTTGAGCACTTGGGTATTTAGCCTTAGACAGAGAGAAAGCAAAAAAACCCAAAACATCTTAACACAATTGCAACTGGGAAGTAACCTCTTCCCACTGTTACTTCTATAGCCATGTGCTTATTCTGTGGTGCTGCAGAGCAGAAGAGGGAGGATTTTCTAGCTAACGTATAAATATCAGAAAAATGTGAGGAAATTTTGGTATTTGCCTTATTTCAAAATAACATAAAGCATTTGGAGGACAAAGATTAAGCAATGTAAGATAAGGGAGAGCAAATCCATGCCACACATAATCATCTATAATAACAACAAGCTAGCATTGTTGTAGTGGTTTGTTGGACTAAAGTTCACATAATGCAGAACACTATAATGTAAAAAATGAAAATCAAAATACCGTTGTCTAACATAATGAAAATTTATTTATCAGGTAGGAGTTTACTGTATGGAAAATCCTTGTTAATTCTTTCACTGGAAAAGTAACTTGATTTTGGATGAATCTTTATTACTGTACTCTATAAAAACACTACCGGTTTAGATAAATAGATGCATGAAAGCTTAAAAAACTTCTCCTGCCCATCCTCCCTCTAAGATTGCATCTCAAAAATGCTTTTCAAAGTTTTTAGCAAAAGGTAGGAGTGATCAGCATATATTAAGAACAAGCTAGATTATTTTTCATGGCACAAAAGATCTGCTCATATTATTTGCTTGCTCCTGGTTCTTTACAATAGCTGACAGTGACTCATAATTCTCTCACAACATGTGCAATATCACTAAACCTGCTACACCTCAAGTTATTCAAACATACTAAATGGCCATTTCAAAAATGAACCATGTCTACTGACTTCTGTTTAGCTGATCTATCCAAAGACCTTTCACACACTTAATAAAACTGTGAAAAAATGAACACTGTAATAGACACCAAGGTTGTTCCTATGACAGAAGAATAAAAAATATTATTCTGAGGTAAAATGATAAGAGTACTCTTGGAAAAAAGTAAGTAGATGATACATTTTTTAGACTGATATGAAGATAGAGCTCAATTTCCCATGGATTTTGCTAGAAACATGATTATGAAGTATAGGCCAAGTTATTTTGGATATATTTTCTGATTTACCCAGTATTACAACAGCAAGGAATAATTCCAGTAAGTAAATGTGCCTGCCATTAAACTACTGAGAAAAATGAGCCTTACTTTCTCTGACAACATCCCAACACCCATATTGACATACATTGTTACAAAGTCAAAGGCCTCAGTGACAAATCAATATATTGACATCTAAAAGATACATTGTTTGATATAGGGTAAGAAATTGCTCTCTAATTAATTGTAGTGAATAAACAAAGCATTGGAATGCATGAACCTAGATTACTGATTTCACTGACCTTGAAGCTGGCGTCCTTTGTACAAATCCTTTGTTTTTGTTGGGTGAGCTCTGGCACCATTATCACATTTAGGTTGTTCATACCTAAAGAACAAATAAGGAGAGAATGAAACCAGTCAAGGTTAATTTGATCTAGAATGAACTTACTTCCAATTTTGTAGTCCAAATAAAACTCATACCTTCTTACATACAGGGAATAAGCCTGTTTTTCATTCAGAAAGGACAATGCAAACTCAACTGCTTATTTTTCACTTATATCAAAGAAACCAGCACATCTTTATTTTCCTGGGGTTGATACCAAACTAAAAAAATATTATCTATTCCAAAGCCCATTCTACAGGGAAGAAAACCAAGCAATTACTATAAATTAATATATAATAAAAATATTTTTAAAAATACACCAAAAAACTCCACAAAAGCAAAAAAAAGTCAGTGTAAGTAAGAAGGACTAACCATGAACAGCTAATGTTTTGAACAAGAGTGAAGAACTGAGCCATTTTCCAGAAAGAAGGGAATCGGGCTGGAAGTACTTGAATTGTGAAAAAGACTGCATCTCCACCTGCTGCTTGAATATTCTTCTTCTTCTATGCTTACCGAGTTTACTTAAAGTCACTTTGTAGGTCGAACTGGTAACAAGAAACTCTGTGCTATTTGTACTTCCAACAAACATCAACTTAAGCAACACCACTTGCAACACCTTTTATGTAAGACCAGGAGGCATGGGAGCATCTGCTGCTGAATCTCACATTTTTTTTATATCCCATTATCAATGCATGGTGGGTTTTCACTCAGCTCAACAGAATTTCTTTTTGATAAATTTCACTTTCTTATTCTCCTAAAGTAGCTTGAAGTTGCAGAACTTAATGCGCAGCATTTCAGAAAAAGTTTCAATTCTCAGTTAAACACAATAATAGGAATTGTGTCCACATACATGTGTGTGCACATACATACCTGTCAACTGAATCTAGATCTTTCATATTTTATGTAACTGAAATTCTCCTAAGTTCCCAAAAATGACATTTACTGACCAGCATACTAAAATGTCTAATTAAAATATACTAATCCAAATCTTTTGGAATAAAATATTCTTTTAAAAACCATTAACTGGTGGCTATGTCCTGGGTCCAGGCCAGACTGCTCCTAAGAAAAATGCCTAAATAGTTTGATCTTAGTTATCAGGGATTAAAAAAAAACCCACCAATATTATTTTTCCTTTGAGAGCTTAATTTATTTCTGCATCATCTGATGAAACTGCCCACTGGCCCATCAAATTCTGGCTGCTGCAAGAAGGTACAGTGTTGTTTTCATGGACATGGGAGAGCTAGAGACACTTTTTTCCCCCTAAAGAATGGCAGGAAAAGGAGCTTTGATAACATGGGTTGGATTGAGACACCTGATGGATGACCACTTCAATCAGCCAAGAAAACAGTGAAAGGGAAATCTCTGAGCAATATTCACTAATGCAGTACCTGGCAAACAGCCTGGTCCCAGATTAATCTGATACCTTTCTCTGCATTCCCCTTGTCCTCTTCCGTTACTGTTGCTGCTCTGTGCCTACACTTTGAGCTCTACTCTTTTACCTTTTTGGCTTTTTTTTTTGCTGGAGACACATGTAGTCCATCATATACAAACTAACCCTATCAAAGCCCAATAGGTGTTAAAATGCTGCATTGTGAAAAGTCTGCATTTAACTCTTTAAAGCAACTGAAGAAAGAAAATGAGCCATTAGAAATTTACCATGCAGGAACAGCCATGCTAAAAACTGATAAGAGAAACAGATTTGACTCAGTTTTCATGGAGAAAGAGTGGGAAAGGGATAGCATGTCAGAATGGCATACTGTCAGGTTAAAAATAACGTAGTTATAAGACATCCCAAGTTACTCTTTTGAATTTTAAAGGGGAAAGGATCCCTAGCAGTGAATGTATATCTAGAATTGGCAAGGGCTTATGAAGGCTGCTTTATACCTCTGAGCAGCTTGTTGGGTAGTATTGGGATTTACTGAGGTGTATAAAATAGTAGAGGATGGAGACTTTCACAGGGATTCTACAGTGTGGGCAGCCTCATAAAACAGATGATCTATGTTATTTTTTAAGTTTAGAGAAATTTGTACAAGTGGTTGGGAACTACTTTTCACATTATTCTAGTTGCTAAAGAGTCACGTGTGAAAACATAGCCTCATGTCCCCCACTGAGCAAAAAGGCTGAGGGTCATGCTCTGATATCCCAGAGGAATTGGGAGCAAGTTGGTGAGGAACATACTGATAGACTTTTGCAGGGAATGGTTGTTTTTGCTCTTTAAATACATTGCCTCCTTTTAATCAAATGGATGTTTCCTCTAGACTTTCATAAAATCCAGCTTTACACCACAGCTTCACCTATTTCTTGTGAATTTTACTGCCTTAAATGTCCTAGAGTTGTTCTTCATTGCTGCATCTTTTTTCAACTCTTGAATGAGATTTTTTTTTCTATAATACCTTCACTGACAAATGATTTCACTTTTTTTTTTTTCAGACAAAAGCATATTAGAAGGTGAATGAATATTATTAACTTCCCTTCTTTTTGGGGTCCTATTTTATGTGACTGCTATTTATTGTGGCATTCAGAGTATGATGATATGACAAATTTCATCCTCATGAATATATCCAAAACAAACAACAAGCAAAATGCTAAGCTGTTCTGGCAATAGCTTCCCAGATCTATCTTTCCACTGTTGTCTCCTAGTGATTCGATACAGATTTGCAGAACAGAGATTCCAGTATTCTACGTATCTATCTTGCCACCAGAAGTACTAATGCTATCAGTTCCTGCGGTAGAGTTTTAACATATTTTAATTTGTATTTTGGGGTGGAAAGCTGAAAAATAGCACACCCAATTTTGCACAACCCCCTGGTTCTTTAAACTAGGAAAGACTCACATGGTCACTCACTTCATTCTATATGAATGGATCAACAGTAACTCTAAGTCACAGGATCATAGAATCCTTAAGGTTGGAAAAGACCTGTAAGATCACTGAATCCACTTCTGATGGTACTGTAATTGGCATTGTCTAGACTATAGTATAAACATCTAGCAGTAAAACAGACTTGAATATGGGGGAAAAGCTCCCCAAGAATATAAAACTTCATAGCACGTGGCTTATAATGGGGGGTTTTCCACAAAACTTCAGCAAATTATATAAAAAATTATTTTGCTTAAGCTTGAGAAGAATTATGACTGCATCAAGATACCCATACTGTCTGCCAGATTTATATGAGCTTCTGTAGCATTTCTCCAAGGCCAAACCTCAACAACCAACCTAAATAATATCCTTTGGAATCTGATACTTGCCTTGCCTACATCTGCTCTATGTGGCTCACACCACTTTTAACATGTATCCAGCTCAGCTGAGATGACTAAACTCCAAGCTTCTATTAATAACACACTAAAAATGATATTTCCTCTCTATGGGTTCCTGAGCAGTTGTTCCATCAAAGCCTGTCATATGAAATAGTTGAGGAGGTTGCTGGAAAAATAACTGAACATTTCTGAGGTTGGACATGGTTTTTATCATAGACCAACTTACTTGGTTCTTCTATATTCAGGCTAAGGAATGTGAGATTTCCTCTGGGATTATTCATTATCTACTCCAAGCTTTGGCTTTCCAGCAAAAAACAGAAGTAATGAAGAGGATTAGGACAGCAAACTGTCTGTGATATTGCAGTGAGACTGTCCATGGCCATCAGGCCTAAAGTTTTGACGTCTCCTAAAATCTTTCCCTTTATAGTGGAAAAAACCTATATAGCATAATTCCATCCCCAACAGAAATCTACATGCCAGTACGTGGACAGTAAGGTATCTTCTCACTGCAGCTTTTGAGCACTGTGGACATGTATTCCTTTACCTGGTCGATGTACCAGGGATGGGACGTCCCGTATCCACCAGAACACACCAGCAGTAGCCCGTGGAAGGATGGCATTGCACTGGTTTGTAGAGGCCACCCTGAGCACACTCTGGAATGAAGACATTGTCCTTCTGAGGCTGTTTAGCTTCCTCCAGGGCTGACTGAAGTTCTTGATCACATGACGATGCTTTTGGAAGGAAAAGAAAAAATACTGAAGAAGCTAGATTTATCAAACAGTTTTTATACCTTTCTTTGATTGCATATAAGATTGTCTTTGAAGAGGCATCTACAGCTCAAATACGAGCTACATTGATTTAGGTGGCACACTTTGGTTTCCTTTTCATGCAGCTGCTTTGTAATATAGTCCTAATAATATCTTGAACACCCCCTTTCCTATACTTGATATAAGCTATGGATAACCACATACTTACTATGTGACCTTAAAAAAATCCTCCTTTACCCCACAGTCCCTAAACTGCCTATTCTTTTCAGAGGGAACAGTAAAAGTCCAAATTCTTAAGAATCCTTACATGAATTATTCATCTAGATACTCATTTAGATGTTTATATTATGCTCTGTCTTTCAAGTTTTGGAACAACCTCTTAACACAGTAGAGAATTCTTCCACGTTCTTCTCCAATATTGGGAATGTATCATTTGCTTTGGAGAGCAAAGTCCCACAACAAAAAGTAATAAAATTTTATCTCTACATTAACAGGATGTGCCAGATCTTTTCCGGATGTGTGAAAAACTTATGTATCTACACATTCCCAGCCTTTATATGAACATATGAAACAGGGGGGAAGAGCATAAACCACAGGGCCTGAGAACGCCTGCCAGTTTACACCAATCAGTAAAAAACCTCCTCTGATGGGGATTTTCAGTCACTACTAAACTGGCACATGTGACATTGCAGAAATAATAAATGATACAGATTATTTACTCAAGTCATTATATCTCCAGGAATTTTAAAGACAGTCTCCTATCATGTGAAATTTAGATGGTTAATAATATAGCTACTGCATAATTCCCAAACTAATCCAGTGGGGAAAAAAAAAGCAGTATTTCAAAAACAGGAACATTAAGCACTCTACAAACACAAATTACTAACAGGAACATTTCAAGTTACTAGAATTTCAATCAATAAAAGATTTTCTTTAGTTAAAGTTGTTTTAATGTTGCAATAAAAAATTTTGTGGGTAACATTTGATCTTCTTTTAAGTCACTTAAAGGATTTACTTCTTGGCTTTACACAGTTCAACCCACAGAAGAACAAGTTGAATCCTGACTGAATTTTGTAGTGCATTTAACAAATTTCACCTTTAGTATAATCTCATTTACTTTTATCCACAAGGTTCAGAAAATGCTTTGCAAATTGTAGGCAACAACTGACAGCAATTCACTAGTTATGTCCAGAATGCTACTGCTCCTTGCCAGCGTATTGCAAATGCAGATGTCCAAAATCAGTAAGATTTCTGTTGCAGGGGAAAACGTGGTAGGAAGTTAAACACCTTCATATTGTAAATGGCACACAATTCCATCTATACAATGGCTTGGCTTACAAATCAGTGTGTTTTGTTCTAATCCATGTAAAAGTTGAAAAAACAAGCACGTCATTTGCTAACTTGATTACAAGGTATTGATGGAGTGGTTTTACTGTTCTTTGGTTCACTTTTTTTTTCTCTCTTTTTCTTTCTTGTACAGTATTTTAACAGGACAAGCTGACTGATTTTGCATGCTTTTGCATTAGTCTACCCACTAACATAAGGAGATTGAACAGCTCTCAAGGTGCCAGTGTTTAGATAATAACCTGTACTTAGAGAATCAGTGTAGTGGGGACAGAAATGCTCCTTTAAAAGGGGGAAATAGGTAATTATTTGCATGTTAAAACCTTCACAGAAATAGCTATGGTTTCACAAATTAGAAATCTGTCACCAACATCCTCTTAGAATTGCCAAAATAAATTTCCCTTGGTGAATCTGGATTGTGATGATTATCAAGTAACAAGGTATGACAACCCTAGAAAACACACCACTTAGCTTAGTTGTTTACTTTTTATGTTTTGTGTATGATCAAACAAAAAAGAGCAAATGGGGTGAAGCAGCTGCAGTGAGAGGGAGGAAATCATTAATCCTCTTTAAACTCCACTAAATTAATTTCTCTTTCATACCAATAAACCTTGAGACCGTGCCATTAGCTACTGTGACCTCTTGGTTTACATCCTTGTAACTAGCAACACAATCTGGCAGATGTGCAGGTATTATTATCTCTCCCAAACCCAAAGGAGTGATACATTATCATGCTCTCAGCTTTGTTTAGAAAATACAATGGTGCATAAAGACTACATAGTCTGATCATCCAGATAGACAAAATACAGCAGAATCAAGGGTGGGATGGAAAATTCCCAGTTCAGAAGATATGAACTGTTTCAGCCGTGAGCATAAGTTACACTATCTAATTTCTGTGTTTCCACTGATTGAAACAACCAGCAAAAGGCATCACAGATTCATGGACCCTTGTAGTCACCTGCATTGTTTTGGACACGTTGTCACCTGTTGTTGATTTAGGAGCTGGTGTTACAGACTCAGATCACAAGTCTTTACTGACTGACGTGCCAAGACAAGGTTTTCTGCAAGCTGCTGCTCGAGCTAGAAATTTGTATCTTTTGCACTAGGTCAGGTTTGTTCTGGTCCTTTTTCTCCCTAATATCTATTTTTAAGTCTCAGAGGTACAGAAATGCAGCATTATGGGAAAGATGCCAAAGGAGGGCTGCAAATGTGGCTTATGGCTTTAGGAGGGACAGTCAGAAGACTGGTGGAACTTAACATTGCAAGTGAGAGTGGAAAGAGGGCAGACAGTGACAGTAATCAAAGGACAGTTTAAAGCTAAAAAGGAAAGACTTTCCCCTTCTTGGAACTTTTAATTCCTTACCCTTGCCCTACAGATGGGAAATTATAAAAAGAAGAGGAATTTATCATTAGGCCTAAACTAGCTGTCAGAAAAATCTAGATTATTTTTCACAAACTAGAAAAAATATAAATGAATGTGATGTCTGTCCGTTCTCTATGTGCTAAATGAATGATCACAGTTCATTAGTTTTACTCAACAGAAGTGCGGAATAGATTATCATTTTCCTCCCTTATACAATGGCTAATTAGCTTCAAGTCACCTATGAGGCAATGTTCCTTGTGACTCCCCAAGAAGGTAATTTCTGAAGTCTAATGGTTTTGTATACTTTTGACATGACCATCTGCACCACCATTACTACTTCCCTGTTTGTTTTCCCCACTAGAACACTGTTCCTACACAAAGGAAAACTACTCTAAAGTGCTTATCTATAATCCTGCCTGACAGAACCAGAATATTAGTCCTCTGTGTAATTTTCTCTCTGAGGGAACCATTCATTCTCCTTCAAACTTTTCCTTCAATTATTTACAACAGGAGTAGTGGAAAGATGCAATTGTAGCCCTGTGATGCTGAGAGCTCTTATCACAAGAGCTACCATACCACTGCAAATAATTGCCTTTGCAATGTCAGAAGAGTCATGGTCAACAAACATTCATTTCCCAGGAGAAACAGTGATAAATGTCATTAACTTAGAAAATGCCTGACAGTTTGTCCAAACAATCTGACAACAACTATGAACTGGAACCATAACAGATGGATGCCAGAAGTTCATAAAGTGAACAGTATGGAAAAAGATCTATGCTACAATAAAAGTAGGATAAATACCTTACTCATTAAAATGCATCAAACTTTCTGTGGAATGTGCTACTACAATAACTCCTTCTGGGAACAGAAAAGCACTGACACTCCAGCTTCTTTCCAGGGAATCTGCTTACACTGTTGTTACTTCACTTATTTCCTTCAGTTTTGTCTTGCTGGAGAAACAAGATGCTTTAGCAAGCATCTTAGCACAATAAAATAGTTAGACATGGCTGAAAAATCCTTTCTGCATAGTCTACCATGTTAGTCAGCCACACTGTGGCTCAGCTGAGATACTTTGTTTCAGGTTAATAAACCTTTCTACAGTTTCTACCCAAACCCATATTTCATTTTATGTTCATAAGCATTAGCAATTCAACACAGAAATTTCAGCCACGCAAGGAAATATACCTTTTGGCCAGTTTTATACCAAGTTTAAAAAACTGCGTTAAATGTAAATTATGTTGTTCTTCCTATGTCAGAGTGCTATTCCTTTTCTTCCCTTTGTGCTTTAAAGGTTAATTACTAAATACAGGTTTTCTGTTCTGATTCAAGATGCCTTTATAGTCCATTACAATCAAGTAACTGAAACACTGCATCTTCTGCCAATAAGAAACATACTTCATCTAATAACAAGTTCTGTGGATAAGTTTCGTAAGTTTTCTATAAAATCTTTGGTCAATCCTTGTTGCCAGTTATCCCCAAAAAAAGAGTCTGGATTTCAATGAATCTAGTTAATTTACATGACCAGAAAAATACCTCAACAGTCACAGAATATAACAGCCTAAGTCTTTATTTATGAATGACTCCATTTATTTATCTCTGATGGGCTACCTAAACTCTTAATTAGTGTTTAATAGGGAATGTCCTAAAGGAGAAAAGCAGTGACTCTTCTGGAAAAGTTAACCTGAACAATTTATGTAACCACACATTTTTCTGTAGCACCTGTAAAACACCAAGTACTCTAATGTGCAAGTTAAGATAATCATATTGTTAGTCTTGTAATAGGAGAGGTTTTAGCACCTTGTTTCAGAAATTCTGGCAGCTTTTGTGCTGTGCCTTATCACAGTTTCTCCCAACATGTGGAATTTCATGATTACAAATAATTTGAGTTGGGTTTTTTTCTTACATGCATTTCTTACATTTTTTCTTACTGCATTTATGTCTAAATTTCAGTGTGTTCTACAGAAACAAGTTGTCAAATCTGGAGAAAATTACAAAGGCATATGTATCATACTTTAACATTTCCTGCTAGTATACAAACATTTCCTTCCAATTTCTGTAACTCCAAAACATGTATATGACAAACAGAATGCATTCCAAGAAATTCTGTTTGGTTCCTTCTCCCTCCTCTTCTCATTACCATAATGGACCATGAAAGGACAATTTAGACAGACTGGTTTTCATGGTAAATGGATCTTTTATTAGGGCTTGAAGCTCAATGTCCTCTATAGAAAGCAGGTAACAAGAAACTTGTGAACAA